TTATGCACCCCACCCAGGAATTCATCGATCTCCTTATCTTCCAATATCTTGGAATCAGCAGAAGGAACCGCATCATTCATATTGCAATCAGACTTATAATGTTCGAGCCGAGCTACTTGAGAATCGGGTACGATAACAGACGACACCTCTGGTATCGCTTCCTCAGATGCGTTAGTATCCTCACTCCGTGAGTCGTTCTGTGGTTGTCTATTCACTGCCACAAAACTCTGTTCCACTACTGCAAGCCTAGCCTCAAGCTCTTTATTCTTTTGCTCTAATTCCTCGACTCTAACAATACGCTTTACATTCTGCTCAATAATCAGCTTTAGCTTCACATTTTCAGATTTAATCTCAGCAAATTTCTTTTCAAGTTCGGGAATCTTGGCATTCTCCTTTATAAGTTCAGAAATCTCAGCCAAGAGCTTCGAATTTAATTCTTTTAATGAATCGATTTTGGATCGAGATTCAAGCTCTGATGACATGTTTGATAATAACTTTTATGTAAGGTGTAGATTTATCCAAAACCTTTTATCTTGCAGACATGGAAGTTATTCACGCGATTAAAATTTGCATGACCAGAAAATGGCAAGAAAAAATTTAATTGCTACTGGCCCTTTAGGGCGCCTCTGAGGCATATCATAAGTACATCATCGAAGCTTCCTATACCCGATAGAATACATATAACTCATAATCTCAGCATTAAATAATTAACCATTACATGAATACACGGGAGTGCACGGCTTCGCTGATAAAACATGCCTTCTCACACTACGTGAAAATTTTTGCCATCATCGAAAAAATGAGTGAATATCCAACTACTCTATTATAGATTCGGGAAGAGAGTCTTCCACCATCAATCTTCGTCGCGCACGCGTTAAATCTAGGTAGAAACGTTCATTAATATACGTACATAGTCAGATAACCATTTTTCTTCGAACCACGTATCATCATATGAATTAGTCGATCAGTGATTGGCTAAAAATACATGACCCGACCTATAAAATAATCAATCAATTATTTCACTACAAACTCAAAATGTCTACTTCAAACTCTCGTTGGAAATCAACAGTAAAGAAAGTAAATAAAATTCTAAATAAAGTTGGTAGAATAGTCCATAACTATCCCAAACTGCCAAAATTTTCCTTAGGAGAAGAAAAGTGAGTGTACCCCACATAGTTTCCTTATTAGTTCAATATTGTTGACTCACATGGTCTGCAGTTTGCCATTTCAGATTGGAAAGAACGTTTCCATGAAGGAGTATAATACTTTTCTTGACCGAAATGAATCGACCGGATACAAATTTTATTTGGAAAACAAAAACGTATATATTATTGAAATGGCTAACACGGAGCATGAAGCAGTTACTATGTTGTTGGTGAAATACTTTGATATTCCGAACAATGGTGTATTACGTGGTTCGATAATGATTACCGGTCAACCATGTAAGAAATTTCCTTTAGTCTGCTTGATATTTAGCTTGCAATAACACCTCATATAGACCATTATAATCTAATCGGCCATGGGGAAAAGATGGCACCAGACGTCGCGATTTATCCAAGTTCTGCTCATGTTGCACGACCTAATGTTAAGCATCCTGGTCCTCCCCCCAGTGACGTAAATGTATTTTGAGTTTGTATATATTATCATATTATTTATTTTTCGAGTCACTTTCTAATATTAATAATAATATATTACTTAGGGTTTTTCTCACGCGAGAATCATTGTTGAAATAGCTAACATTCAGAGCATTAATTATTGGAATACAAGATGTGAGATGTGGATGTGTGAACAATATGTTCGATACGTATTTGGTATCAAATTTGATATTATTAGGAGTCATCAAGGACGAGTTCATCGATCGATGTTGGTATGTCTAGCTATTGTTTATTTTTCTATAGTTTCATCTCTAAGAGTCTTTTTTTAAAATATTAGGCTAATTTATGGTCGCGTCAAAATCCAGTACCAGCAGGGTTTACAGCAGTAACAAATCCCAATCTACCAGGAGTATCTGTAAAAATGGTAAAAATGATTTGTCGATTGTTACAGTAGTATTTTTTTTTTTTTTTTTATAATCAAGTGTCAGATGCTTAAAATGTAACTTTGGCAATGTGATAGTGGGATTTTGGCACTTTACAGTATGGTACTACTACCCATACCACTTGCGTCGGTCCGGGAATCCCTGCTTACCAAGTGACTATTCCAGTTGCAGATGTTTTCTGGAATCCCCCAATAGTTACAAACCCCGCTACAAACATCAGCACCCCAAATATTGTTGGTTACGCCATAGCAGTCCCTGGTGCAATCACCATCACTAATTTTGTCATCGATTTATATGAAATTCAGCAAATAGTTTTAGAAACACAAAAGGTATAATTTAGTATAGTTGTTAGTAACATACATATGGAAAGGTCTTTAAAATAAAACATTAAACATGATTAATCCGATAGGTGCTTGCGTTTTTATTCAAAAATGTAATAAAATCCCAAAAAGTGAACGCTATACGTAACCATTTTTTATTTATTTTTACGATGCAAGAAATAAGCTTGATGCGATGACAAGTTTAACGATTGTGATCCAGGATCACAGTATCACATGACAATGTGGCGCAGTATAATATCGATAGTGCAATGCCTCATACCGAAACCTTTGCTAATACATGATTAATATCATCCTGAGATAATTTAGTTAGTGTTGTAGCTGTAAAAGTTTTAATTCGCTTGGTCCTATCCTCCCCCAATTCATTAAAAAGGTCGTAAATTTTCAGGGCCATTTCTTTTGTCTTTCGAAGTAAGCTTTCACTAATTGTATCTGGAATCTGTTTTATAATATCATCAGCAACTTTCCCCTCAGATGTGAGCTTTGGATATTCTTTCCTGTAGTGATTGAACCGTTCATCAATAGCTTTTCAAAAGTGAAAATAGTGGCGTATAACGTCTTGGGATGTTTTTTTTGTTAATACTTTCAGAATCTACGATTTTTTGATATATATTTAATTTAGGAAGTTAACTGATGTTGTATTGGACTCGGAAGCAAATTCAGATTGTAAAGTTTTTTCATTCTCGGGATCATCAGTTGAAAGCTCTTGAATAAGTCTTTTTATTACGGGAGAATAATCTCTATTTGCGGATTTCTTCTTTTTATTAGGTGGTTCATCGACCGACTTCATAATTCGTTTTTTCTGTACCCCACTGAATAATATTGAATCAATGTCACGATTACCTCCAGTCAATAATGGCTACTCTATTTGATCGTTAAGAGGAAACACTGGAGAAGTCAATCCAAGATCATTACCCATTCTGTCAGCCAGAGCAGAAATTCCACTTGATTGAGTTCTTCGCGCAGATCAAGATGTACCCAAAGGTAAAAAAAACCTTCGTTAAAGCTTGAAATTAATGAACCGGTTGAAAAACAAGAGAAAGCTCACCCAACTCCAGTGAAATTAGTGCGAGCCTGAATTTCTGATCCAAATGATCATTTTGTATGGGGCGACTTAATACGTATGTGTACTTCAGATAAGGTATTTTCCCGCTCCAAGTTTATGAAGAAATTCAATCGACAGTTGTCTATATTCAAAAGAAAACACCAATATGGTTACTAAAACATAAATATTCTGAAAATAGACTTTATTTTGATATGGGATCTGAACTAAAGCTTGCCAAATTTGAGATTAAATAATCGAGTATGAGGGAATCAGTGAAATTAAAATCATTATTCGACCGAGCAGTTATCAAAAGGTCTAATGTTTACGAAGATTATATTTTCCTTCCATATTCCATAAACACCCCTTAACCCAATTCGGATTTCTTTTAACTCTTTCCAAGGATTTTTGGCTAAGCCAGCGATCGAAAAATAACAGAGAAATTATGGATCCGATTCTCTGGCAGGTATTTAATGTAATGTGCAATGGGAACAAAGAGCTAAATGAGTATATCTGGAACTGGTGGGTGTACCTAGTGCAGAAGCGAGAAAAGAAACCTCAAACGATCTTAGTATTGAATCTACATTTCAGCAGTGGGGGAAAAGATCATCACTGATTTTATTGGTGACAAAGTCTTGGGAGAACATTTTCATTTCGAAACATCAGATTTAGAAAAAGTTCTTGGGCGTTTTAATAGTGCCATTCAAGCTCGAAAGCTTGTTGTTATGAATGAGACCGGGATGTCTAGTGGAGAATGGCATAGATTTAATGTTTATCTCAAATCCCTTGTAATAGAAAGAAAAGTTTCTATAGAGCGTAAGTGTCTTGAAACCAAGAGATTAAATGATTTTGCAGTATATATGGTTACAAACAATCAGGATGCCCCCCTCAAAATAGATATAGGGGATTCTCATATGGTTTACTTTAATATTTCTTCACGATGTAGAGGTAATGTACCGTATTTTGACCGATTAGGGGAAATTTTAGACTATCCTGATGTTCCAGGAGTAGTGATGACATATCTTCTTAATCGTGACTTGTCAAACTGGAGTCCAGGGAAAATCACAGTTACTAAAATAAAAACAGCTTCCGACTCCAATTCGATTTATAATTGATTATATTACTCTACGGCCTGAAGATTGGATTGAAAAACCGATCACTGAAAATTTATATCAGTAATATGTAACTTGATGTGGAAGTAATGGAGAAAAACAATACGTATTTAACTCTATAATTTGAAAAGGAATCACCACCGATAGGAATTGTGAAAAAACAAGTACGTATTAATGGAAAACACGTAAGGCAATATATTCTCAACCGCTCAAAAATCGTGTCTAAATTACATGAAATAGTTGGCGATATCGAGGAATTTTCAGATTCACCTCAAGCCGAGACATCTATCAACGCATCTACAGATACGCATCCCTGTATTCAACGCACCAAAAATCGTAACCCGAACAAGGAAAAGTAGAACCTACCCCGTCAAATACCAATCATATCAAAAAAGGTAAGGGGACATTTCCCGCTCCCTCCATTACTAATATGTCCCAAGATCTCTTCGATTCTATGACAGATCAATCGGAATTTTCAGTTGCTTCGTCATCATGTGAAAATAAAAATTTTTTTTTCTTTACATATTATTGGTCACTAATTAAAAAACATCGAACCACTGTGGAACTATTTTTTTTACAAAAATAATATATAGCTAAATAACATGTCGCTTGATAACATTGTTAATACTATTCAAAGGTCTCTCTGAAGAGCCTAATAAATTAAGTGAAGATGATGAGGCCAATTTATACGTATATCTCACTGACAAGGGTACTAAATTAGCTGATGTGGAAAAGTTACTTAATCTCTGCAAGACAAATAACGCTAAGCTTGCGTACTTGAAAGGGTTATCGAAGAAGTCTGTTTCTGGTGCGTTCCTATGATTTGCTCGACTGTCATATTTCTCAATAATACCGAATACTTACCTATTCTTGTGCTTTTCTTTTCTGCTTCTTGTCGACCAAAGAACACATTCACGTTATCGTAGAAAAACCCGTTGCTGGTAAGTGAGTCATAATAAATTTAGATAACATTAACTTGCTGGATTTTCGTTAACCATTTTTTGTCTTTATTACGTGACATTAAATACATAATCCTTTCTTTTTTTTATTCACTGCTCCTTATCATCAAAACCCCAATACAGAAGTTAGGAAAAAAATCTTGGATGCTTTTCCTGGAGGTATGTATTAAGCAATTTCTGCAAAAGACTCGTCGTACTTATGCCGAGGCAGATTGGACGTACTATTTATATTCCAGGGTTGCCATATGTGAAACCGGAACCTTTGCTTTACACTTCTGGTGCTAATTGGGAATATCAGCCTGACCTATCTTTGGGGCAGATCTTGCGAAGAGGGCTTAAAAATCATTAAGAAAATTTTATTTTAGGGCGTTTTGACAAATTGAATCTTCCGTTATATCTATTCCTTTCTGGAGCTGGTACCGGAAAATCTCGAAACGCTAATGAATTCCACCAGACGGCAATCACATGTTTGTCAGCTCAAGAAGATGAGGAGCTGTTGACTAGGATTAAAGAAGCTTGGGTATTCCATGTCACCTATGAGAATGGCTTTGACTTACGAGAAGATGAATCTCGCCCTTATCATGCCATTGGTACCCGTATGCTATTTCAACTTCTCAGAGAGAAAATGACGCTTAATAAAATTATCGAGACATACGAGCCACCAGATCCGTTGGATGTTGTGACATTGATTGCCAAACATTATAATCAAGACTTGAAAAACATTACAGTCATTTTGGTTGTTGACGGCATGCAACAACTTATGGTGAACAAAGATGACAATTTAAGGTCGGATTCTTCGTTTTACAAGACTCTGACATCTGTCGCAGATCTAGCATTTTGTGGCACTTTTGTGATACCTGTTTGTACCTCAACTATCACCGAGCCGATTGATGGTACGTTGAGATATTCTCAGCGGAAACATATATACCTACCAGTCACTTCTCTACAACCCCCCGAGCTATCGACAAGTAAATGGTTTGGTCCCGGTCTTCAAAAATGATGAGATTACTAATATTCTTGTGGAAGACTGTGGAGGGCATGGAAGAGCACTAGAAGTTCTGAATGATTGCTTGGCCGGTCGTAACATTGAAGAATGCAACGTCAATACTTTGATGAATGATCTGCGTTCTAAATTTACCGAAAAATATCGCGATGCTATTTTTCATTCCGCGGAAGATGCTAGGCCCATTGCGCGAGCAATGTTAACTCGACGTATTTTAAATAGATATAAACCTATTCCTAAAACCCAAAAAACACCGGATGAATTCGTCGGAGGTGGATTGATTAGATTCGAACAAATCAAAGGTACTAGAGATGGATACCTCACTGCACCATACATCTGGCTCTGGATATTTGTAGAGATATCTCAACAGAGAGGAGATCCGATACTACGAGATTGGGAGTTAGCTGATTATGAGGAGCAAAGAGCACTCTTGAATCCAGTAACATCATTACAGGCGAAGTCATGGCAGAGTTTTGATAATTTTGTTGCATCATTTCGTTGTATAAAGTCAGCCGTGATAGATGAAGATGAGCTAGTAAAGATATCAGATGTTCATGTAGGAGCACGTTTGAATGGTGATATCCAATTTAAAAACCACAATCTATGACTCGAAATTGCAAAACATTATACAGAAACAAAATCTAAAAGTCTCACTACAAGCGAATGGAATGTTGATTGCTGTAATTCTACCGTTGATGTCTGGCAATTCAAACATTATATAATTAATGCCCCTGCTTCACCTTATGGAGATTCCTTCCTTTCATTAGATCAGCCGGGTACCGAGAATTCGAATGAAATCCACCAATTTAAATTGCGGGAAAAAGCAGTCAGTAAAAAGGAGTACCAGGAAGAGCGTGAAAAATCTGCATCGGAAAATGATTTTTTCATCCTCTTTACAACTGCAAATTGTAATGTTGAAATTCTGAAAAGGTCTGGATCGTAGATGGAAATGCTTTTACGAACTATTTTGGACCACTTTCTGGAAGAACATACAGATCTATCCGTAATTTTAAAGTCAAAAACATCCATACCGTTTCTCTTGGGCAAATATGCAACATGGATCAAATTAGCAAAGAACGAGTGAATGTAAAAGCAATGAGATCAATAAAGAATTTTTATTTCCGAAGAGGACTTCACATGATTTCTCGCATTTTGCCTCGATTCATGTGATTACAATTAGAGAATTATGCATATCATAGAAATTTGTAATTATTTTTTGCTTGTTACCTCACGTTATTCTTGTAAAGATTTTTTATATACTGCAATAAGGTTGGTAAAATTACCGCCTATTTCAAACAATAAGGAATATATGCCACGAGTAATAGCGAGCATAAGATAAATCTCTCGAAGACAGCAGTCAAAGAAAATCTCGATATTCTCCGAAGCAATGTGAAAAAGGTAATCGGGATTATCTTTGGGTTGTTAAAGGATCGGATCAGTGTAGATAATTCCCCAGCCAGTAAGAAAGCTAGGATCAAAAAATTTACTAAAAAATAGTCCCCGCTTTACATATATTCTATATTGTATTAATGAAGCAATCAGACCTAAATGGTCTTTTTTTTTTTTCTGACAATTAATTTTATGCGTGACAAGGAGTGAGTACGTACCTTTATTTGGCTTAATCATCATCAGAGATTCATTCAAGATCGCTATCCTGAGAATAACAAATCCGTTAATGGTAGAGTCGATATTAATAACCAATGAACTATAAAAACAGGTATGAAACTATTTGACTAAATCCTTCGTTTTTATGAGTCTCTCTAGCCTTAAAACCCTTGCATATAATATTTTAAAGGAGACGGGCGAAAAATCGACCAAAATATCCATGTTACGGAACTACGTACCACTATGCTCAATATGTAACAAAAAAATTTCAACACTTACATATGAATCGTTCACTGTGCTCGCTTGTGGGCATATCTTTCACAGAATGCGTATCGAGAAAAAGGATTCTGCTTGCCATACCAAATAAATGTCCCTTTGCTAAGTGTGAAAAAAGTGTCGAGCTTATTGATGAAGCACGACGAGACTATGTATCTTCTGAAACAAGTGTACTTCGAATCTGGCTGATGAATTCACCCATAATGTTGGATTTGGTTCTCAAAAAACTTCTTCCTAGAATTAACTAATGGTTTTGGATAGAAATGAAGAAGCCGAGCATCGTGTCGAGGAAAAATCTAGCACAACTACTATTTACCACAAAAACGTGTTACGAACCTACTTTTACCGATACTTCCCACAACAAAAAAAATTAAGCCAGCTAAAAAAGAAGACTCACTAATGTTGAAAAAACTAATCAAAGAATTGACAACTATCCAGAAAACCTCATTTATCAATACGATCACTTTTCAGTCGGACGTTTCCGAATTGACAAAGATTCGTGATTTATATGGTAAGATTACCAATGCAAAAGACAATTATCAGAAAATTACCCATGATCTAATTTATTTCACTATTATTTCGGGAAAGGTATTAAATTATAGTTCGATCATTATAGAAAAATGTGCAGTGAAGATGCGTCTAACGCAAAAGTTAACGATAAAATTAGGGAACAGATTTCTGCGCAAGATAAACTTACTGAGATTAAACTTCGAAAAAGAAAAGAGCCAAAAAGATTTTTAGACTTTTAATATTATTGGTGGAAAGTAAATAATAGGTCAGATTAAAATATTTAATGCAACAGCGATTTTGAATTTATCTCAGGATGACGTCGATTATATAATTAGCAAAATTTTGGAAATGACTCTCACATAGCGTTACCTTGATAACAACGTCAATTTTCTTCGAGTATAAATAATAGAGCCATATCATTAAATCGTACTCAAATTGTTCATATTGAATGTGACATTGATACTGCGACATATAATGCCAAGAAAAATTCTCCATCATCATTATCAGCAGAGCTGGTATGGTCAATACATTATTAATAAGAAATTTATGCTGCTTACTCTGATTCATATTAATGTTCATATAGCATTACGATTAATATCTCAAATGGTGGATGTCATACGTCCTTATCATCGGAAATTAAATCATATTGCTTGACGATGTTTGTAATACACCCGAAATATATTCTATACCTGAAATAGATCATAAGATATACAGGGGTGATATATACATAAATATTGCCACAAATAAATTCTTTAGGGTCAATTCTAAACTAGGTATACATCACTCGCAAAATATGAGTATTGTAACACTCTTTAAGAGATGGTTCGAGAATTAAACCTCGCTAAAATTGTATCATATTATTCTAGAGTATATAGTTATTAAATCAAATACTGTATGTCTAAATCCCTAAACCCAATATAAATCACATTATCTCTAAAAACTTTAAGTCAATCACTTAATTACTAAATATGGTCCATAAAGGTGAAACACCATCTGATTGGAAGAACCGAATCTGGGATCCGTTAATTAAATATAAGAACAATAACTCATTTTACTGATGATAAAAGGCGATATCTTATAGAAAAATGAAATATTTATGGGAAGGCGATCTCGTCAATGCTGTAGCTGTAAGCATAGCAATTTCATATGTGCAACAAACCAAGTTTATTCTAAAATAGAAATTGTTATGAGTGTGGATTTTATCATTTCATGGATAGATATTGGAGCACAAATTTAGGAAATGCTTATTGCGGTATTAGTTATAAGATGCAGTATATAGAATTTAAAAGCGGATCCGAAGCTAGCAACTTCTACTTCAAAAAAGAAACAATTCATCGTTATGATTGTTGATGCAGAATGCCATCAGAAGAGTTAAAAGGGCAAGTGAGATAGGAAAAAATTTGAACTGTTAATATAATATCACAGAAATGGCTTGAATACAGTAGCCGTCATAAAAAATGCACCACTTAAATTATTTGATTTAAATTAATCATATTTTACTAGAAAAAGGATAAAAATTTAACCTGATTTATCTTTGAATATTTAATAAGCTACTTTATTTATTTATATACGTTTTTTTATTATTTAAAAATAAATTTGTAAAAAAAAACATAATTTTTTGAATTTTGATGGTGCTATTTTTTTTTGACACTTTTTTAAAAAAAAAGTTATTAGCAGATATAATATATACTAGTTTATCAAATTTTAAAAAAACTTTATAATTATTCATTATCAATCTATATAACTTCCTCTAGTTACAATAACAACTTTAATTCTACAAGGCATAGTTTCAATTAATTTTCAACAAAAGTCTACTTCAATTGAATTCCATATATTATTAATGGATTCCTATAATTGTCCTACATTATTAATTTCTATTTTTAAATTATCAATTTACATTCTACTTCATTTAAAATATGTTCTATAGGGTTTAGGTCTGATGAATATGGTGACCAATATAATGTTTTTATATTATTTTTTAATCCAAATAATAGTATATTTGAATTTGTATTTAGGATCTTTATCATATATAAAAATTATATTATTTTTATCTAATTCATAATATTCTAAAGTTTTCGTAAATTTATTTGAACATAAAGTTGTGAATCTAACTTTTTATTTATTTGATATAAGTACTCAAAACCTTCCCAAGTCATATATCCCCAAATAAATATAAATCCACCATCAAATTTAATAGTTAGCTTTATATAATTACTATTAATTTTTTACCAGATTTTTTTCAATAAAATTCTTATTCATTTGAATTAATTAGTTGGAATTTGATTCATCTGACCATATAATATTGCCCCAATCTTCCATTGAGCATCAAGTTGAGTAGGAGGTAAAGATGGGTCCCTAAAGAAAGAGGTAGGAACAAAAATCAAATGTTTCTCACTAGCAAATATTAAAAATTTTAAATTAATGACTATAAAAAAATTACCTATAATTGTTTTTCATTATTTAAATCATTTGATTATAGTATTTCTTAATTTTTGTCCCTATTTAAATAAAGAGCTATAAATTTTGTCCTTCAAAAAGGGACATAAGTGATCTGTAAAATTTTATATGCTAAATACTTTAGGGATTCATCATTAATGAAAGGATATTTAAAGTATATCTATTCTACTTTACATAGTATTTGTATACCAGTTTGGGGACCATATGTATTCCTTACTATTTGAATTGTGATACCAGTAAATATTAATTATATTCAGGTTGGAGAGCTCTGTGAAGAAAAGAGATGATGTGTTCGCAAAGTTTTTTCTATTGGGACTGAATTTATACTTGTTGATATTTGAGTACATATTGAGATCTCCAGCAAGAATTATATGCCAATGTTCCCAGTTTCTTTGAATAATAAGGTCGAAGATTTTCCTGGATAATTTTGTATACTAGGAATCAGGAGCTGCTGTGAGGTAAATTTTGATAATTAGTATATATTGTTTCCTAGGGAAAACAAGATCAACAACAAGGATTCTACCTTCTATTCTCTATATTTTGATGACTTTATCTGCAAGATCACATTTAAGTACAATGGCAACTCCTGTGTCTTTGCCTGTTTCTTCTCACCATATTGTAAAATGTTGAGCCTTCCAAGGTAAACAATCAATACTTTGGTTGGTTTCTGTAGAAATGATAATGTCCCATTCGTTAAATTTCCAGAATTCTATCCAAAGATCTTATTTCATAGATTTTTTAAGATCTGCATAATTGAGTTTGTGATTGCAATATAGGGTCTATTGGCTGATCTGCTTTTATAGATGCTATCTGTATCTGCTTTCTTTATATATAATTATATTGTTATGTTATATATTTATGCCAAGTGTAAGAATTGTATAGATGATACTTCTGTTGCTTTGGTTTGTTGTATTTTGTTGACTGGGTGATATTCGTATTGTTTGAAGTTGTTGATTGAAAGTGTGATTTGCTGTTTTATTCATTATGTTCACAGTTATTGTTTTTAGTATTGCTGTGATTGCTACCTATTATTTATAGTTATGGGATTGATAAAATTTTTTGGAATGAGGGAATTAATAGCATTCATGATTGTAT